TCCTGCAAGAAATCTGCAGAACCGCCGAGATGATAATCATGTCAACCTAATTTTCGGACGTTCTAAGTGACCCAATTATCGTGGTAGTGAGAAAGAGCAGGCATTTGGTGCATGCCAATCGTATTATCCATAATGGTGAGGAGTTCCACACACACTGGGCTGAAGAACTTTTCCCCGTTATTTTTGAGGTTAATACCATGCAAATCGTCGAATTTACCTACAAATGTACAAGCTGATGATGCCGACTTTAGTTGTTAAGCTATCCAGTGCAGAAGCTGAGAGAAGCTTCTCTGTTCAAAATCACATCGGGGGGAAGCTGAGGTGCCAGCTTTATCTGGAAAGCCTTGATCAGTTGATCAGACTCTCTTATAGCAAAATACCTACTTAGGCTTTTTCTTTCCAGAGGCCCGAAAGATTTACATTGAAAGTCTTCACAGATGGTATTGAGTTACTAACAATGGTCTTGACTGGTTAGCACAACCCAGTTACTCACCCAATGGTAGTGCATTAAAGATGTAAAACCCCTTTCTCACTGACCGCGTTACCGTGAATAGGCATTATTTCACTTCTGTCACGCCAAGGGCACTTCCGTCAAGCCAGGGGCTTGTGTCACGTCAGGGGCTTCTGCTCCGGGGCTGCAGCTGGATGGTATTGCTTATGGGACGTTTCATTGTGACAGTAGGACGGATGTCCCACCGCGGAATTTGTAAAAATTGTGTCTAAATTTGCGGTAAGTGGCGTTGGGAGAGGGTTGGTAGAGCGTTTTAAGGGCGTTTGATCCATGCAGCGCAGCGAATGACAATGTGCGCTTGTGGAAGCTGGCGAATGGAATGCGGCATGAACACCGTGTTGTAGACGCGGAGAAACGGCACTGCCGTGTTGTTAACGCCACTGCAGTATTATTAACGTCACTGCAGTGATCAGATTAGGCGGATTATCAAATTTCAGCAGTTTTGATGAAATGCTAATCATCATAACAATCCCTTCGTAAAAAATACGATTCAAAAAATCTGAATAATTTTTCATGGATCCCGACTCACTGGCCTGCGAACCTCCGAATTCCCAAGCTACATGGCAATAGGAGAAGTTTTCACCACTTAGATTGGCTGGAAAATGATGTTCCTCATTTGCATTCCAACCAATCAGCTTCTGGCGAGCGCATGCATGCACTTGGGGCTCGGGAGGGCTTCTGATACAGTCATATGACGGCTAGACTCTGCTATGTGTGCCATCCGGAGCCATCGCGTATTAAATTACGTTGCTCTTTGGATGTAGCCATCTAGTTGGCTAGTAAGCTAACTAACGTTAACAACGGTAAATCTTTGTAAATGATCATCATATTAAGGCGACATGATTTGTTTCTTGCCCCAACTTAACTAACTTTGCCAGCTGTCATAGGCATGAACGTATCTGAGGTTTCGCGGCAGTTTCGTCCGACCCAACTGAACTTTCCCATTTTTGGGACGTTAGCAAGTTTGCTAGCTAGTTCGCTAGCTAGTTCAAAAGCAATCGCGTAGGTACAGATATAGGGAACCTATGGTAGTTATGATGCCTTTTGGAGAAGTTTTTATAGCTCTGATTTGTCACTTTCAACGCCATCGCACGCAGAGGATCTCATACAACATTGATTACCAGCTTATTTTACCTAAAGAGCAAACAGACAGTTCGGGCCTGAGACGTGTTATTTCATAGCGAGTTTTAGCTTCACTATCTTGTTATGCATGCTATCGCGTATTATGTTACTCATCAGATTATAAAGCGAGGGAATATTTGTAATCATTGTTATACTAAAGCGATGTGATTTGCTTTTTGCCCTAATGGAAAGAATTCCGCATCAGATTGCACTTTTTTCGGCTTTAACTCTGAATCGTCTTCACTGGATGTACGCTTTACGTTTTAACACACCCGAATGTTCCCCCAGCCACCAAAACATCACGGTACGCCGATGAAAGTCATCAAAATTGGTCCCATTGCGATGTGGTTTAGGGAATCGCAAGTTCGCCGGCGTCTCCAGAAACATGCATAACGATCTCTGATTATTCAAATGCATGATGCTGTGATGTCAAAATGCGACTGAGTTGGAGAGTGCCTTGTGTGACCGGATTTTAATGGGAATGGATCCTTTCGCATCTCTGAACAGGTGTTAAACAACATTATGCTACAGTAAAGTATAGATAAGACAGCTGTACTGCCGGTTACAAGTAGTTTACAGAAATTTCATCGGGAAACGGAAGTGTGCTGTATTAAAGTATGATTGTTCAGGGTGAAATTGATGCCTTTTGGAAATGATTTGTTTTGCTTTCGGAGTGGAGTTGTATTTCTCTTGTCAGAGTAATTTGTCATTAGGTAAGAATAAAAAAGCCCTTTTGTCATTTAAAATCTGATATACTGTTTTCTAATTTTTGTTAATCATTTTTCAGATGTGCTAAACAATCGCTAATCAATTGGTATAATGATTAGCAAAAAATGCTAAACAATAATTTTTCCTTAATCTGATCACTGCACTGCTGTGTACACTTCGTGCTCCGCCCGCTGCAGGTCGCCACTATTCGCCCCATTTAATCGCGCTATTGTCATATTAAAAACGCACCGTACCTTGCTGACAACGCGACCCTGCCGTGGATTCACTGTCGGCGAACATCGTCGGACGTCCGTGGATTCAACACTTAGCCTACACGAATGTTTGCGGCAGCAACCCGTTGTCTACACGATACTGGCGTTAAAGAGCTCCAGTGCGGACATCCGCGAAAAAAATTGAACCTGTCTAACTTTTTCGCGAATTTCGGCGGTGCTTGCGAACGCTCACGTACCACTGCTAATCAGCTCACGGTGTACACGCTTCTCTGCTGAACAAGAGAACTGTTTCATCCGCACACTTCAGCGGGCCAGCGCAGCTCAGTGAGAAAGGGGTTTTAGAGATGGATACAGTATATTATGTTTTTGCATCAATACCAGAGTACAAAATACAGTTAGATGCATTACTTGGCATTTTCCTATTTGGAAGAATGATCAAATCATAATGAAATGCATACGTACCTAGTCTCTCCAATGAGGAGATTTTTAGTACCTGGTTCATGTATGAGATATTTTGCTTTCTGTCTGGTCTGTGTGGTAAAATTTTGTTAATACCTACGTTTATAAAGTGTAGAATTAATGTTCTTTAGTAGTAAGTCGCAAATAAAATGACAACTTTTTGCCTGGCTAAAGGCTGCTGTCGTCGGCTACATATTGCCCACCCTGCAATTGTTTGCACACCTTGTTACTCATTTTCTGCCCAATACTCTGCCCTCGAACAGTTTTTTTTATTACAAAATATCAAAGGTAAGAATTTTTTTTTTTTTTGGCTAATCTCTGTAGACTGTAAAGTGTATGCCTGCTGTTCTTTATGGTGGCCGACAGGCAACGCACTGCAACGGCCAAAAACATCTCCAATCGGAGAAACACGCTGCAAAAACAGAAACGATGCAAATTCATAAACGCGCAAACCGTGAAAGCAAATGCAAAAGTAAAACGCTGCATATCCATGCCAACACATGCCCACTGCAATGGCCCAAACCATCTCCAATTGGAGAGTCTGCGCTGCAAAAACAAAAACGATACAAAGCCAAAAACATGCAAACCAAAAAGCAAATGCAAGAGAGAAAAGCGCTGCATTTAAACAGCTTTTACTTTTGTCCTGAGTGAGACTAGCCAGCTAAGACTTTCTGGCTAGCTAGCCAGCTACCTAGCTAACATTAGTTCGCTTGTTTAGCTAGCAAGTTTGCTAGCCTAGCTGGCCAACAGTTTGGTGCAGGGAAGTCAATAGAAAATAAATGAATTAAAAAATCCATTACTTTACCATCTCACTTCACAAGGGTTGAACCGCGAGCATTTACGTTATACTAAATATAACTGTCAGCTAGCTAGGTTAGCGAACTAGCTAGCTAAGCAAGAGAACTAACATTAGCGAGCTAGCTAGCGAGCAGTTATATTTGGTATAACATAAATGATCGCGATTCAACTGTAGCTAAGTGAGATAGCGAAATAATGGATAATTTTTATTCATTTATTTTCTATTGAATTCTGTGCACCAAACTGTTGGCTAGCTAGGCTAGCGAACTAGCAAGCTAAGCAAGCAAATTAAGGCTGGGGAGCAGCTATATTTGGCATAACATAAATGCTCGCAGTTCAACTTTAGCTAAGTGAGATAGCAAAATAATGGATTTTTTATTCATTTATTTTCTGTTAACTTCCGTGCACCAAACTGTTGGCCAGCTAGGCTAGCAAACTTGGTAGCTAAGCAAGCGAACTAATGTTAGCTAGGTAGCTGGCTAGCTAGCCAGAAAGGCTTAGCTGGCTAGTCTCGCTCAGGACAGAATAAAAGCTGTTTTAGTTGACGCTCCCCATAGCGACTAGGAGCACCTCTGTTGTGTTGATATCTAAATGCAGTGCTTTTCTCTCTTGCATTTGCTTTTAAGGTTTGCGTGTTTTTGGCTTTGCATCGTTTCTATTTTTGCACTGCGTTTCTCCAGTTGGAGAAGGTTTGGGCCATTGCAGCGGGTATGTGTTGACATGGATATGCAGTGTTTTACTTTTGCATTTGCTTTCGCAGTTTGAGTGTTTTTGAATTTGCATCATTTCTGTTTTTGCAGCACCTTTCTCCGATTGGAGATGTTTTTGGCCGTTGCAGCGCGTTGGCCCCATCGGCCGCCACCGTAGTACCTTGAGTGTGGTGTCGGTTTAAAATGACAGGGAATATATTGTTGGATTCTGTGGACTTTCCTCTTTCGTTTGAGGTATCATTTGTATGCATAGCACAAATTCAGGAGAAATTCTAGCGACTCAGCACTGATATGATTTTAGTCTAGGTTTTGCTACATGCTTATTTACTTGCTTGGTGCTTGAATTGTGTTCGGTTGAGGTAAAATGGTCAACATGAGCTTTTTGCCAAGTTTCTTCATGTAAAGTGGATATGCCACATGACAATGTTGTGATTAAGAAACAAGTCATGTAACAGTCAAATGATATAGCCCAGTGGTTAGGGTGTAGGGTTGCAATGCAGATGACCAGGGTTTAAGTCCCTGGTCTGTCATGCTTTAGTAAGACAATGTAACATTTTTCTTGTATGAATAATTGCTGGGGTTTTTATTCTTTTTACTTTTTCTCCCCATTTTTTTTTACCTTTTTTGTATTCATAATTTTATTAATTTGCTTTTTTTTTTAAATAAATCTGCTCCTGTGGAGCCAAACTTCATTTTCTTTTAATTTATTGTCTTTGAATGGGAAATTGTACAGGCTGTAGGACTTTTAGAAATAACAATAATAAAAAAATTATAAATTCTAAAAATTAAAAACTGGTTGTATTTGGGTGGAATGTATGCCTGTAGTGACATATAAGTGAAATTAGATGAGTTTTACAGTTTAATATCTGAGATAGGCATGGGCAACGCTCTGCATAAACTCTAATGGAATGCGTAACAGCTGAACTGGGGCGGTAAACAAGCCTCAGAAAACTTATAAAAAAAATGATGTAAATACCATTTTCATACAAAAAGAACACCATGGTTTGATTAAAAGCAACCTTTTCAATAGGATACCCGCATTTCACTCTGCGTATTACGGCCAATAACGCGATTTGAACAGAGCTATTATTCGCCCGTTGGATGAATGCGTGACCTCAATTTGCGTCGTGTTTACAAACTTTCAAGTGCACGGCGTGGCAAAAATATCCATTTTGGAGGTAGATTTCAAATAGCCCACGCTGACGTGATATCCCAGCTACGGCCCTGATTGAATTACAGCCATCTAATTTGAGAAATTACGAGTCTGTTCATCCAGTCTAGACCTCCAGGGGATGTGAAATTAGTTCGAGAGAAGTTGTTGAAGTTCGTCGCGAGTTCGCCGTGACTTCTTCTCAACAATAGCAAGAAAGGTGAGTGTATTTTTACTGTAAACCTACATAGTTAGTTGACAGAATATCCTGTGACCCTATTTGTGAAGTTTCAGTAAAATATACCAAGGAATAAACCAGCGCCAGGCATTCAAAACCTACCAGTGTTCTGACGAATTTTGCTACCTATGCCACCTCGCGAACACCGGTCACAAGATTCATTCACTTATACCCTTCAATTCGAGACTGCGAGGATGGAAATCTGAATAATCAATTAGGAAAAATTCTCGGGTCTCGGTAATTTTGTATATCGTTTAAACATTTTGTTAATCGGATTATGAAAAAAGACTGAAAATAAGCGCCCGCTTTTTGTTTGGGTGTAAAAGCACGTATTTAAAGGAGAATAACATTGTATATTGATTAAGCATTGAACTCTGCATAAGTCGAACTGTTTTAATATTTGTTGATGACATTGCTTCGGCTTCCTGGAAGCAAAATACGCACAAATCTGCTGTCCTGTGAGCATTTCAGGTTCGATATACTGAGTAATAACGCCATGGAAACCTAAACTGGCCCGTCATTCTGCCAAATAGTCTTACTAAACTAGTTAATCGTCTGATTGCTAATCAAGCAAAGGGGAGGTTTCTGCCTCGTCAAACTAACCTCCGACTGGACGTCACTGTGTTTTACTATGAATTATTCACAGTAGCTCATTGAAACTATCATGGGAGGAGGGTATATGGACATTATAAAAACAGCGTAAAGTGTTTTTTTTTTTTTTTAAATCACCACGGGTTATTGAAGGGGGAACGTTTCATAGCAGTGGGAGGGCAAACAACTGCCGGCATCAGCGACTTCACTGCATTTTATACAGTAATGGGCGAGTAGCATTAATGTTTGCCCTCCCACCGATAATTTTGACATTTTTGCAGGCCATTGATCCAAAAAAAAAAACACAGGCAACCCATTCATACCATTTTTTAATATCAATGCAAAACCTAATGTTTGTTGAACATAATTGGGTGAAATTCAATGCATTTTCCATTAAAAAGGGCCTAGGGGGCGCTGCTGTATTTCAGAAAAGGGGTTGATGACTTTAGCATCAATTATTTCTGTTAGGGTACCCTAATGGATAATTTGGCCAGGTTTATTTCTGAGTAGACTGCATTTTCGAAAATGCCCACAGGCTTCACCCCCCAATTTTCACAATGGGTTTTGTTGATAAATGCCGAAATCAGCCATTTTTGGGACCCTGTGGCTCTGAGACCCTTTCCTGTAAAGGCGTTGGACTTGTGGCAAACTCTTCGTCTGTGTCTTCTGCTGCAAAAAATCATTAGAAAATAATAAAAACTCTTTTCTCAGCAACTCAAGAAATGTTATCATTTTATTCATTTGTATTGCCCATGCCTATCTGAGAAATCTGATTTGGCACACAAGGTACCTGAATTGCTTGGCACAGATAATGGTGAGATTCTGTGCAGTAAATTTTTAGAGGTTTCAGACTGCAACTAAATAAGTTCACAAGGGATAGAAGTAAAACTTTGGTGCAAAATGAGGTCTTTGATTTATACTGTGTTCCACCTTCATTTACTCTGATTCAGTGACATATATACTGATTTTTACACCATGTCAAAAATCCCAAATGGTTTTACCTTTATCATGATACCAAGATTATTCAAATGGACCAAACAGTTGCAGAGATATACTCATTTCATTTAGGAGTTGCCATTTTCGAAAAAGAGGCTCAGGGCTTAAGAGGTTAAGCGATATTTACTTTGAGAGAGGAGGTTTCCTTTAAAACTGAGGTAAACTCAACAGATTTATCTGCATCATGTCTCTAAAATATGTTTGGAATAAATGTTTTAGAAATTAAAACTGGTGAGTAATTCATAATTTATTTAATCATCCCAAGGCCGTTAGTGAAAATGAGTTGAGTATTAGCAGTTGCAGTTCAGTTGGTTGATAGCCCACATCATCCAACATTACAATCAGGGCGAACGGTAGACAGCCTACAGAGGCGAGTGGTCTAGTGCGTGATTGTTCTGCAAACCTGGCAAAATGATCAAACATTTTAGATATGTAACGGTTATTATCCGAGCGAATGCGAGATAATGTAATGCCTTTACATGACTCTGACTAGTAGGGATGTGATCAGTTTATCAAAGGTCTTATTTCGCATAGCCTAAGTATTTTTTTTCTTATCAAAAGTGAGGGGGACGGATCGCCGTCCTCTCAAAACTGCGTGGGACTTGTCCCCCGTTCCTCCTGCTGTTCCTTAACTCTTTCAACCCCAGATATTCTAGCATCACTATACCCTTCAACCCCACAGCCCTCTGTAGAGGGCTGGTCATTATCTGGACATTGTATCTTACTGTTATCTCTGGAATCCCATTAAATGTAACCTGATATGTTCCAATCAATTAGTCAGATTGTTTGAATTTTCCCTACAGGAATTTGGGGTTGAAGGGAATATGTTGGTCAGCCCTCTGTAGAGGGCTGTGGGGTTGAAGGAGTTAAGGCACAATTATACTCAGCAACAAAAGTTCCTGTGACACCAATTTTCACGAGTTGTTCGGAGGAAAAAAAATGTCTGGTGTTCAAATCTGTTATAAAAGTGTGAAAATAGGCTGCCGGGTTAGCTCACTCGGTTAAGGCACCACAATTGCGATGCAGTAGTGACTACAACGGGGCAGGTTCAATCCGCGGTCGTACCAACCAGCAGTGGTCGGCAGCTTTTTCAGAACAGCGCACTATTGGCTAAAGCGCTGTGGGAATGCAAATTGGGAAAGGAAATTAAAAATGATTGCCTTGTTCGTTGCTCAAGCACCTCCTGTTGGCCAGCCGGGCGCTCGTGAGTGAGATTCTGAGCTTGCTCATGCTTGGGTATCCTCCGCCCTCGTTCTGAACTTGCGATAGTTTCGACCATGAGTGTAAAGATGCAGGGGCTGACAGGCACGTGCTTCGGAGGAAAGCCGCAAACTGTCTGTCTCTCCTGAGCTGGCAATAGGGGTTGTATACGAACAAGCCTTGTACATAGTTCTCGGATTAGGCATTCCAAATTCGGGTGGGATTGGAGATGCCAAATTTATAAAAACAAAAAAAAGGGGTGAAAATAAGTCACCAAACACACACTGCAGAAAAGCATGCCTTGAATGCAAAAGGTGACTTTTATGCAAACATCACGCATTTGATGACCTAAACTTGGGTATAAAAGCACGTGTCGGAGGGATTCGATATGCATTATTCCTCCTAGTGTTGACAACTGCCACACGGAAAAACAACCCGTTTCCATCCTTACTCGAAGTTTGAAGATGCCACACCTATCTTAAAATGAACGTCTCAGAGCCATTGGTTTGCTTACAGCAGGATCATATCATCGGGATGTCGCAAGACAATTCAACGTCCATAGGAACACCATTTGGACTTTATGGCAGCGTTGGCAACAAACAAATGCTGTCAAAGGCCGTTCTCGATGTGGCAGGCCACCTGTTACAAGCGTCGGACAGGATCGTTGGATTCAAACCACACACCTGCAAAATTGGTTCCAACCTGCATCAGTCACTGCCAGAACCATCCCAGGACTTCGGCGAATGTCGGCACAGACTGTACATCACTGCCTCAGACGTTTCAGGATTGTTGGCAGAAGATCTGCCAATCACGGACAATTACGTCAACAGTGGTGCAGGCAGCGTATATGTTGGACAGCAATTCAGTGGAGACAGGTGCTGTTCACTGACGAGTCTTGTTTTAACCTCAGCCACAATGAAGGATGCAGACGTGTTTTCAGATGTCAAGGTGAACGTTACGCTGAACACTGTGTCATGGAGCCAGACCGTTTCGGAGGTGGCAGTGTTATGGTATGGGGTGGGATCACAGCTAGACAGAGAACCCGTTAGTTAGTGGTTGATGGCAACCTCACTGGACAGCGTTACCGTGACAAGATCATCAGTCCCGTTCCGCCATTTTTGCCTCGACATGGCCCTGGAGTTCTCTTTCAACATGACAACGCCCAACCACATATGGCTCAAGTTGTGCAAGAAACACTTCAACAGAACAGCGTAAATGTGATCCCTTGGCCAGCTCGCTCTCCAGGTCTCTCTCCAATCGAGCGCACGTGGGATGAGATGGAACCACGTCTCCGACGTTTACCATGTGCCGTAGCAACACTCCAGGAACTTAGTGACAAGCTCGTACAGATATGGAA